ACAAAGAACGACTAGTGCCTCTTGACTTGGACCTAGATTTACCTTTCTTACCTGCACCTTTGCCTTTGTCAGACTTCTCATGCTTTTCCCAGCAGACGGAGGTCTGTTGGGTGCTGGTGCGGCTTCTCGCTTCCCTGACAACGACTTCGTAGTCGCCTGACGCATCTTCTCCAAGCGCTTCCGCTCGAGGTAGTCCCTTGCAGCTTTCATGAGAAACTCATAAGGGCGGTTGGGTTCCCCCTCCGGTGTGCGATCATACACAGCTAGGTCATGAGAGAGGGGCTTAAAGTTCTTGATAGCATTGTGAAAGTATGCTTGCTTCCACATGGTGTCAGGCTCGGAAGTCATTCCAGCGATCACAACGTCCCATCGAGTGATGAAACCCCGTAGATCGTCGTTGACTAAGGTAACAGCCATTAGATCCTCAATGTCATACACTGCCCCATGTTTCCTACTTGTGCTAAAATGTTTGTGAATCATGAGAAGTGCCTGACGTCCTCTGGCTGGAGTTCCGGACTTGGCTTGTTCTTCCTTAAAGATTGTCAAGTTGCTGTGCAAGGTCCCCTTCGCAGATGTTGGTGAGCGAAGACATGATCTTTGCGTCCAGAGTCACGAACTTACCTGAGTCCTTCAAGGCTTAAATGGATTGATCGGTCCTAAAGACTTCCTCGATCCACTGAAATGCAAGATCAGGCTTAGCAGAAGCAGCTATAACAGCATCCCTTACCCTAATCCTCCAGTTCCTATAATTCTCAGGCTGGGGAAACTTAGGAACTGGCACCCGATCAGACTCTTTGGCCTTTGTTTCCGATGACCTAGAATGTCCTACAGCTTTCCTAACCTTACGCGCAAAGGAACTCTCAGAATCCGAACTTGATGTGGTAGGCGACGAGGAAGGAGGAGATGAGGATGGGTCCCGACGACGTCGGCGTCTGGATCGTCCTCGACTCGGCTTTCTGTTCTTCTTCTTGTCTTTCTTCTCCTCTCCTTTCGACTTCGCCAGCCATCATCATCTTGGTCAACATCATCATCAGGAAGGCCACCGCCAGGCAGTCCGGGTGGCATGAAGGGTCCTTTCATAAAATCTTCATCATCCGCATCCGGTGTATGATCGGGTTTCTTCTGCTTCGCCTCCAGGTCCACGATGATCGGACCTTGGGGTTGAGAAGACTGCGGAGCTTCTCGTCCTGGGCCAAAATGAATCTGAAGTCCAGGAGTTCCCTCCAGAGGTTGAGATTTCAAACTTCGGATAAGATCCTTCTGTTCTTGTCGAAGCTTTTCAATTTCCCTCTGGAAGTCTTTACGTTGGGCCTCTGCCGCTTTCCGCATGTCCAGGGATTGTTGGTTCACCGCATCAAGTTGGTTCCGATACTCGGCAAGTTCCGAACGTGCAACGCCTAGATCCGCATTGGATTTGTCCACTGTAGAGTTCATCAACCCAGCAGCAGTCCTTAGTTGACCGAGTTCGGCAGTCAATTCCTTCATGCGATGATCCTGTGCCTGAAAGCAGATTTCTGCTCGCTCATCGCCTGGGCAGCGTGTTCATTCAACAAAAGGTTCTTCTGAGAAATTTCTTCGGCTGCTGTCTGTTCAATGCGTGTGAGATGATCTCGAGCCTCACTCACAAGCGATTCCCTTTGACGTTCCATGACCACAGTATGAGGTGCATTGGCTTTAGACTGCAAGGCTTGCTGTTGAGCAACCATCATCTGACCGGCCAGTGTTGGATCCATACCCTGTTGCACCACTGCCACTTGGGCGGTACGTTGGTCAACGTTGTTGAAGTTGATCGTGTTCAGTTGGCTGAACTCAACACTGGAATCCACAACACCTGGCGCCGTCCTGCGCGAGTCGTTCCTGTAAGGATCGTTTCTGGTCACTGGGTCAAAGTCCTCTTCCAAGTAACTCATATCACCTTCGGTTGTCGCTGCTCCAGCATGGATCACCATCTCCTCTGGTCGAACCGGACCTGTCAAGGCCAGAGCAGCCGAGGCGTTCCCCCGCCCGGGGCAGGGAGCGCTGGGGGAGTGGCCATGGCAAGTGCGGAGAAGAGAAAGGGCGAGAAGTGAAACAAAGGCTAAGCAACCAATCACCTTTGGCGATACGGCTGATAACCTGTAGAAACGGGTTAACAACCACTATGGGCCACCAATAAACCCTGCACACAGCGCACTATTTCTTAAGCCATGATGACACCAGTAAGAGGAGTGAAAACCTATATACATGTGGTACTACTCTGCAGTAACACTTCTTGTGCACTCCATTGTTGGTAATGTGGGTCATACTGTTGTTGGTTGTACTGCTCCTCATAGTAGTACTGTTGTTGGTCCGTGCTTTGTTCGCCTGTTGCTTCTGTCACGTTGTACACTCGTACGCGGCAATCTTTTGCCATGTGCCCCATCTGCCCACATCTGTAGCATGCTCCTTTGCCTTTTCCTTTGTCTCCTTGCCCTGTAGGAGGTCCTTTGCCTTTTGTCTTTCCTTTGACGGCTGTGTATCCTGATCCTTTGAAAGCATTGCCGTAGCCAACTGGTGTCTGTGCTTTTCCTTTACCATATCCACTGCTGTTGTGTCCTGTGTGTCCTTTTCCTTTGTTGTGCCACTGTGTCTTTCCTTTACTTTGTCCTTTGTAGCTCTTTCCTTTGCCCTTGTGCTTTCCTTTTCCTTTGTACATCAGGCCGATGTCCATTGGTTGTGGGTCTGTTGAGCCTGTGCTTGTGTTGAGTGCTTGTTGTTGGACTTGCATTTTGAAAAATGCTGTGCTTGCTCTGTGGTACTCAAGAATGAGTTCATGTACATCAGGATAGCGCTGGATTGTACCTGCTCGGAGTTGTAGGTATTGTTGTAGTGCTCCCTTTGTTTCGTTGAGTAGTACTGCGATTTTGATGTTATCTGGTATTGGTGCTGGGTTGTCCCTTTCGTACCGGGCGATTTCAAATTCCCATGTTGTAAATGACTCTTCAAACTTCTGTTCGTTGAACTGTGGCTTAAGTAGTTTTATAAGGTATCCTACACTGCGTGTACCTACTGGTATCGAGAACCTGTCGTGTAGTTGCCTCCAGGTCTCCAAGCCTTGTGCTTGTGTACTGTGCTGTCTGCACAGTGCTGCTGCTTGTCCTGAACAAACGCTGACCAGTATGTAGCGCAGGTCTCTGCTGAGTTGTACCCAAAGTTGTGCTTCTTGTGGAGTAGTTGCTTCATCTCTAAGAAGGGCGTCTGCGACCTCCATGTTGGATGTTTCTGCTGTTTGCGGTAGTCGTGGGAACTCCGAGTTTTGTAGCCCAAGGTATGCTACCATCTTGCGCTTCCATTCCTCAAATGTTGCATAGTCTCCTATGAAGTATGGTGGTTGTAGTTTGTACCGGTGCATTGGTTGCAATTCTCCTCCAGCTGCGGCCATGTGTCTTGTTGTACTCTCTCAACTGCTGTTGCTTTGTTGCCTTGTGTGTTGGAGCTCACCCTGTCCTGTATCGTCCAGGGATCACTGCTCCGCTACCATGTAAAACTCAGCTGAGCTGTCTCTCACTCTGCACTGACCATCTCCCTGTAGCCCAGCAGCTGTACCATGAGCTGCACTTTTCACTGTGTACGCCCAAGGGCCCTGTGTCGAGCCAAGTCATGTAGCAGGCAAGGTATGTACCAGCTCCAGGTATGCACAACTGTACACAGGTGGACATGTACATGCACGGTGGCGTCTGTATTTAACTATGTATTTAACGATGATGATGATGATGATGATGATGGTGATGATGATGATGATGTCCTCACATGGATTCATCATCAAACACACAACTGAAATCAGATGGTAGCTTCTCTGAAGCCAAGGGGCCAAGATGTGGAATAGAGCCGCTCCTGGACATGTGCGGTTCATCAAATGTTCAACGGATCGTTGTTGTGTTCTGACTAACGAACTCATTGCGTTGAGATGATGATAATGACAACGACAATCACAAAAGACTAGAATCATCATGCCAGTGGCAGTGATAAACTAGTGGATATCCGCCTTGATGGACACCTTCCCATTTTCAAAGGCATGTCCTTCATGCACCTCCACCTCAAGGGTCTGAAAGTAGGCCTTCACCTGCACTTGGCGAGAGCATCTCACATATCTCGGAATCTATAAGACTCCTATACAAGGACAAAAATCCGGTCTTCCCCATGATTTCTTGCGGGCACGCCCTCCCAAAAAAAGAAACAAAAACGTCAGGCCTGAGGTACTTCAAGAATTTCAGACATCCTCTCCTTTGTGATCATTCCTCGGCAGCACCGGTTTTACCCATTGATGGCCTTGGGCCGAATTGTTTTAGGGCGTGCCCACAAAAGCTCTCCAGAATGGTGCTACTTACATCCGTTTTTTGTATACTTTGATTAGAATATACACCGAATACACAATTCAGCATAATTGACAGTGAAACTGATACAAACTGATTCAAGATCTCCTATTTGCCATGGATTTCCCAGTTTCACAAAGTTGTTCTGCATGTGTATGTGAATAAAATAAATAAATAAATAAATATATATATATATATTCATTTATTTATTTATTCATGTATCCGTGTGTGTGTGTGCGTCTGTATGTCCCCTATTTTGCCCGTTAAAGAAATCATTCTTTACCCGGAGATACAGGCGACAATGGATTTTCTGCCAGCTCCTCACGACGGACGCAGAGTCTCCCATCACCGGTGCCAAGCCAGGCAGCCGTTGCCCGTTTTGTCGATGGCGCGGAAGATCTGTTCCAATTTCTTGACCTCAGGAGCTCAGGACAGCTATAGCGGCTATGTCTTAAGATCAGAGGAGAAAAAGGTCGGGAAAACCATGGAAAATCCCGGCTTGTTCACAGGAAAATCATCTATAGCTGATTTGTTCTTCACCAGGTTGGACTACCAGAAGATAGCCGAGAGCCAAAGCAAACCCAAACCCAAATTTGTGTGTTAGGGTCAGTTGGCTGAAATTTGGAATCCGAAGTCACCTCACCTTTCTTACCCTGAAGCAGCAGGCCCTTTTTGTCCTAGCACCGGTGGGGTCTGCAGTGCTCATCGATTCACTTTGCGACGTTTTAGCTGCTCCTCCTCGCCCGGTAGGGTATCCTTGGAGGCCAACTGCTCCACCAAGCCCACATAGACATCAATGCCTGCGAGGAACACATCCACCGAAAGATACCTGGGTAGTGGTTCAAACCGCCCTAGGAAAAAGATCTTTCTCAATTGGGCGTCATCTTCAAAAGAAGCTTTGAAGGACAAAAAATCGCGTGCAAATTGGGAATCAACATTCCAATCCAAATAGGGAATGAAAATGAAAAAATCTCTGAAACCAGCAAAGAGAGAAACTCATTGTGCTCATGCAAAAGGATGGGCGAGTTCTTCATGGGCGAAAAGCCCAGGGCTGGGATCTGCAGCTCCCTAAGAAATCGCGAATCTGTACCAGCTGGGAAAACCTCAGGTTCCAGCTCATGGTTCATGGCAGCCATGGCATCACGGAAAGCCACCCACCACGGGTTGGAGTCATCGGCGGCAGTCATAAAATGCGAATGCAACGGTCTGGTCCATGGAGCAAACTGCCAGGTGACCCCTTCTTCTTCGCACCACTTGTCCAGCAATTTTTGGAAATCCTTGGGGGCCAGATCTGGGGTGATGCGCACATCAAAGCCGGCTTCCGCCTCTGTTGGGATCACATTCATACAAAAAGTCTTGCCGTTGTCATTTGAGACTCCAGCACGCAACATCGTCAGATTTAGGGTGGTCACATCTCCCAGCTTCTTGGCTGTACCATGCTTGCAGCCATGCTGATCATGACCCAACAACTCCTCCTGCGCACGCCTGAAAGCTAGAGCACGTTCAGCCACTCGCAGCAATTTCTGCGGCGCAGTTTCTTTGATGAAACGAGATCCATGACCTGTCGGACCGGAGGCACGTACTAGGATCCACCATGGAAGACGCTCACCATAGAAAACCGTGAAGGCATCGCCTGGATTTGCCAAACCTTCATCCAGGGCTAAGCCCAGAGTACCCAAGGCGGCAAATTCGGGAGTTTGCAGCAACTTTCCCATGCCATCAACTCCACCAATCTCCTCATCGGGGACGAAACTCAGATGCACCGTGCGTTGCGGTGTGAAGCCCTTCTTCTTCAAGCGCTCAATGGCTAAAAGGTACTGAACACACACAGACTTCATGTCCTGAGTCCCTCGGCCATAAATCTTCCCATCCTGAATCTCTGCAGCCCAAGGGTCCACTGTCCAGAACTCCTCCATGGCAGGAACCACATCATAATGGGAGTTCAGCAACAGGGCTGGTAGCTGGGGTTTGGTACCATGCCAGGTAGCCAACAGCACGGGTTTTCCCTTCACAGGTTCCACGTGCTGAGTTTTCAGGCCAATCTTGTGACAGAAACGCTCCAGCCACGCCACAGCCTGAGAATAGTTTCCTGCAGGCCCTTCATCACTCACACTTCGGATGCGCAGGAATTGACGAAAAAGTTCCACGTCTGCATTGTGGCCATTGGACCCCATGCAGTACACCGGCCTTTGGCTGGTGTCCAGTGCAGTTGATAACTTACAGGTAGGTTCATGCTGGAGCCAGGTCAATGCCAAGGCACTATGTTTGAAGTTTATCCACTACAAGTTCTGTGAAACACAGAGCTACGGATCGCAAACAAATGTCACTACACAGCGTAAAAAATAGTACATTATGATGACATCCACGATGTACCAAGCAAGAATGATGCGTCATCTGCGCAAGTTCATTGCATTGCCAATTCATTTTCAAACGTTTGCGTTTGCATGTTTATGGGGCATGGTATTCATTCAATGTTAGCCACAAACAATAATTTTTTTTACTGGATTTTGATTTCTAAAAAAATGAAAATGAGATACGAAAAGTTCAAAATGGACTGACGACAAAAAATGGGTTGGGTTCACGACTTAAAAACATGTCCGAATAAACGACGCCTCATGATGATCAAAAAATGTGCGCAAACCATGAGCTGGCAGCATGATGTCATGGTGGAAATCAATCAAGAGGCTGCGATTCATACCACCTTAAGAGCCGCCGCTGAGGTTTTGGCATATTGCGCTTTCTTTTGCATTCGTTCCTCGGTGCTTCCACAAACCGATGCCTTGCCAATAACAAAAGGGTGCCACGGTGCCACGGTGCCACACTGTAACGCAAACCCATCACATTGTGCACAAATTTGACCAAACATGGTTGAATGTAAACATATCACTTGCACGCAAATGTAAAACAATGTTGCATGTATTTTATGAACAATACATCTGTATGACTATATGGGTACAATTGATTTATCTATTGGGTAAAGGCTGAGAAAAAACTAAATATGTAATGATAAAATGGGAACGTGAAATTACATTTTAAATTTTAAATAGATATATATATATATGTGTGTGTGTGCGTCGGGTCATATACGTGTATAACCATGTGTATGTGTATATATATATATTCATTTGTGTGTGTGCGCGTGCATTTGTTTATCTATTGTCCTATTTTGTCGTTGGGAAATGCTCACAATTCCCCTGCCCCATGTTTCACGGCAGATGGCTGCCAATAATTCTTTTAGTTCCCTCCCAACCACCGGGTGGTTATTTAGGTAACGTGTTCAATGAACAAAGGCATTTCGGATCCCCTATGTTCTGGACAATTCTTGGCCACGTATACACACATGTAAATATGCACATCAGGATGTGTACACGTAAAATAAGAAGGGAAGTATGCGTGCATCAAATATACATAAATATATATATACATGAACGTGTGTGCGTGTGCATGTTGCATGTGTGTATGCGTGTATGTGTGTATGTCTGTGTGTCTGTATGCTCGTATGTCCGCACGTACGCATGCACGCATCTATGAGTCTTTGCATGTATGTATGCATGCATGCATGTATTGATGTATTGCATGTATTGTATGTATTGTATGTATTGTATGTATTGTATGTATGGTATGTATGGTATGTATGGTATGTATGTCTGGTAGGTCTGGTATGTCTGGTATGTCTGGTATGTATGCTGGTGTGTCTGGTATGTATGCTGGTATGTCTGGTATGTCTGCTGGTATGTCTGCTGGTATGTATGCTGGTATGTATGCTGGTATGTATGCTGTCATGTATGCTGTCATGTATGTTGTCATGCATGCTGTCATGCATGCTGGTATGTATGCCGGTTTCTATGCTGGTATGTATGCTGGCATGTATGCTGGTATGTATGCTGGTATGTATGGTATGTATGGTATGTATGGTATGGTGTGGTATGGTATGGTATGGTACGGTATGGTATGGAATGGTTAGTGCTTTACGGACCACACTCTGGCTCATCCCCTTAACTGCAGGGGTTGGGTGGTGGCCCGCCTGTCCGCCTAGTGTTGCACCCGGGTTTTGAACCCGGGTCTGACGCATGAAGGATGCGTCTTATCCACTAGACCATACCCGCCCTCTGGTACGGTATGGTATGCATGGTATGTATGGTGTGTACGGTATGTGTGGTATGTATGGTATGTATCGTATGTATGGTATGTATGGTATGGTACGGTACAGTACGGTACGGATGTATGCATGCATGCATGCATGTATGCATGGTATGTATGGTATGTGTGGTGTGTGTGTGTGGTATGTGTGGTATGTATGGTATGTATAGTATATATTGTATGTACGGTTTGCGTGCTACGTATGCTACGTATGGTACGTGTGTTCTCTTTGGTTTGTATGGTATGTCTGGTAAGTATGCATGCATGCATGCATGCATGCACGTATGTATGTATGCATGCGGCATGCGTGTATTCATGTATGTATGTTTCCTTGTTTGCATGTATGCAAACATGCACGCATGCACGCATATATGCATGTATGCATGCATGCTTGCATTATGCATGTATGCATGCATGCAAGTTTGCATGTATGCATGTATGCATGCGTGCATGTATGCATGTATGCATGCAAGTTTGCATGTATGCATGTATGCATGGGAGCATGTTACATGTATGTCTGCATGTCACTATGTCTTTTTGCACAGGTCTGGGCCTCAACCGCGCACGCATTTTTTGGCTCACGTGCGCACGCGCAAACACCCCCTTCTTGAGTCTTGCCTCTATGTCCCTATGTCCCTATGTCTCTGTGGCTCTATGTCTCTATGTCTGTCTGTCTGTTTGACTGTCTTTGCGTTGTCTGTATGTATGTTTGCATGTATGCATGCATGTATCTATGTATGTATGTATGTATGTATGTTTGCTTGTTTGTTTGTACATGCGGACGGACGTAGGCATGTATGGTATGTATGGTATGTAAGGTATGTAAGGTATGTATGGTATGTATCGTATGGTATGGTATGGCATGGCATGGCATGGCAATGTATGTATGTGTGTATGTATGTATGTATGTATGTATGTATGTATGTATGTATGTATGTGTATATGTATGTGTATGTGTATGTGTATGTGTATGTGTATGTGTATGTGTATGTGTATGTGTATGTGTGTATGTGTGTATGTATGTATGTATGTATGTATGTATGTATGTATGTATGTATGTATGTGTGCATATGCAAAGGCATATGCATATGAAACTGCGTGTGCGTGTTGAAACATGTAAATACACTTGAAAGACTGCGAAAGTTTGTGGGGACATCTTACGGGTATATTTCAATGTGTAGACGCAAAAAACACATACCTAATTTTTAAAAACAGAAAGAAGTCATGTGAAAAACATGCGTTTATATGGCACATACGTATGCAAATCTAAACTTTCACAAATATGAACAAAACAAATATCTATACATGAAAACGTACATATGTGTGTTTTACAGCATGTGAATATTTACGTATGTATATTTACACGTCGAATACTCGCGTATGCATCTGTGCCTGTGTACAACAGAAATGTGCATACATATATTTATATATATGCTACTACATGTGCAATTTATACGGGTCTAATTGTATGCAAATATGTTTGCATAAATTACATGTCTGTCTGTCAGTCTGTATGTATGTATGCATGCATGTATGTATGTATGTGTTTGTGTGCCTTTTGTATGCCTGCACATGAAAAGCTACATGTGTGTACAAAAATGTGGTGGGAGCGAATTGTTTTGATATACCTATGTGTTCCGATGCGCGTGTCAGGATTTGAAGATATTGGCCAACAGATAGATACACATTTATGCATACTCACTTTTTTGCACTTCTTTCTTAATCGCTGGCCTTTTACATGCGCGAGCATGCATGTGGACATAAAGATATCAAAGGCCATTTGACCGGCACAACCATCAGTCAATCTATCTGAAAAAGGTTTTGGAGCCAATCAGGCGATAGCATGGGACCTTCCAAAACCAAAGCCAAGCTTCGACAACAAGATGTTCAGCATCATTGCTGGCTGCGTCTAACGTATCCTTCAAGAAAATGGCAGTAATCACCTTGGCGCGCAAATTTCTGTCTTGTAAGGCCGCATGCCACCAGAAAGTGAAAAACACAATGGCGTTGTGGTTGCCCGTTTTCTTGCTCTTGTTGTCGTTGTTGTTGCTGTTGTTGTTGCCGTCCTTGTTGTCATTGCCCTCGCTGTTGTTGCCCTTGTCGTTGTTGCCCTTGTTGTGGTTGCCCTTGTCGTTGTTGCCCTTGTTGTTGTTGCCCTTGTTCTTGCTGTTGCCCTTGCTACCCTTGCTGCCCCTGTTGCCCTTGTAACCCTTATAACCTTTGTAACCCTTGTTCTTGTTGTTGCTGTTGTTGTTGCTGATCTTCGTCTTCTTCTTCATCTTGTTCTTGTTGTTCTTCTTGTTCTTCTTGTTCTTCTTGTTCTTCTTGCTCTTCTTGTTCTTCTTGCTCTTCTTGTTCTTGTTCTTGTTCTTGTTTCTTCTTGTTCTTCTTGTTCTTCTTGTTCTTCTTGCTCTTGCTCTTGTTCTTGTTCTTGTATTCTTCTTGTTCTTCTTGTTCTTCTTGTTCTCATTGTTCTTCTTGTTCTTCTTGTTCTTCTTGCTCTTGTTCTTGTTCTTCTTCTTGTTTTTTCTTGTTCTTCTTGTTCTTCTTGTTCCTCTTGTTATTGTTATTCTTGTTCTTGTTCTTGTTGCCGTTGTTGTTGGTGGTGTTGTTGTTGCTGTTGTTCTTGTTCTTTTTCTTGACGTTGTTCTTGTTGTTCTTGTTGTTGTTGTTTTTGTTGTTGTTGCTGTTGTTGTTGTGTTTTTGTTTTTGTTTTTGTTGTTCTTCTTGTTCTTGTTGGTCTTATTTTTCTTCCTGTTCTTCTTGTTCTTCTTGTTCTTCTTGCTCTTGCTGTTGATATATTGTTCTTGTTCTCGTTGTTCTTGTTCTCGTTGTTGTCGTTGTCGTTGTCGTTGTCGTTGTGGTTGTCGTTGTTGTTGTCGTTGTCGTTGTCGTTGTTCTGGTTGTTGTTGTTGTTGTTGTTGCTGTTGTTGTTGTTGTTGCTGTTGTTGCTGTTGTTGCTGTTGTTGTTGTTGCTGTTGTTGTTGCTGCTGCTGCCGCTGCTCGTGCTGGTGCTGGTGCTGTTGCTGTTGCTGGTGCTGGCGCCTGCGCGGTCTCAGAGGCCACAGCCCCTCTGTGTCCCCCAAAAGGTGATAGCGCCACAGATGCAGGTGTCAGCTTGCAATCTTCCAGTCCAAGCATCTCTTATTACGGCAAATACTATCAAAGTTATATACAGCAAGAAGAAGACCGCAAAGTAGCTGCTCCTGAGTTGGTGCACAAAGCTTGACTTTTTCAGAGCCCGCGTGATTCTGTTGCCAAAACCTCTCTGCTCACTGCAGCTCAAGCGCGGCTGAAGGCAAAAAAAAAAACCTGCTACGCCAAGGAACACGCCATCAATTACAGGCCGGGCATAAGTTGGCCAATTCCTGGCGGAACCATCTTTGACAACAAAACATGACAGGATCATTCAAGTGCCAACGCCACCCAAGTCAAAAACAAAGACAAAAAAATACAAAATAATAGTTCATCAAGATGCCCTGCGAAGGTAATTTCATACAAGGTGTACATGGCTCGCAAAGCAGTACCTCGGTCAAAGCAAACCCCTTGCCCGCAGCAACACTTGGGCGCTGACACTGCCCCCACTATTGATCCACAAGGTTTTCTTTTTTGACACGTGCATGCAAAACAGGTGCGAGTGAGCTTGACAGGCAACTACCCCAAAACGCTTGAAAGCTTCCCGCCCTTGAATCGCACGTCCCTTTGTATGTCAATTTGTCAAAACAGACGCAAAGCCTTTTTGGACATCCTTAAGACAAAAATATGAAAATTTGATGGTGCACACCATGTACTCCCAAAAATCGGGCCATGGAAAAGCTAAGAAGAAATGCTGCTTTTCCAAATTTTGAAGATCAAAAAACGTACCGTTGATTTTTCACTTTTTGAGACATTGACTTTCTGCCAGATGCCTTTGCATTTGAAGAGTGGCATCTCTTTATTTGGGGAGCTGGGACGTGCACCCTCCTATGGCATGGGACGACCAACTCGCCAAGATGACCTGTGACAAACTCCATGATGCCACCCCACCTAATGCATGAAATTGTCTTTGATGGCCGGGTATCAGACATTGGCTGACATTGGCTTGTTTGTGAGCGAGCAAATCGCGGACATGCCGTGACAGGTATATATTACAAGCTGAATACATATTGAAAACTCCCTTCTGTTCAGTAGGGGTTGGTTTAAAACTGCAAACTAGGCAAGCTTTTCTAGCTTCGATCAAAACTGGACATGTTGTGAAATATCTCTGTATTGTTTTCATCCAATACACAATCAATGCTTTGGCCAGTGATCCGCAACCTGTTTTCTAAGTAGAGCTCTCCATGACGCGGTGGAAGCTGGATTTTTCCTTTACGATTGTTTGCGGGTTGCTATCGTTTTATGCTGTCGAGACTTCTCGCTATAAAGCACAGCATGCTTGTGGAATGCAACTTATGAAATGGAAGCCTGATGTTTTCTTCTTGTTCCCAAATGGTGGCCACCAAATTTGCACCCTAGAGAGGTTCAAGCACGATGCTACAAACAAGAGATTTCCGGCGAGCAGGGATATCGCCATGGATCAAGACCCAACCCACTCGCAAATAAAATGACAAACATGGCAAGATAGTCACACAGCGGCCTTCCCCGACAACGCTTGCCAGCGGGGCCACCAACCACACCATTAAACATGTCTTTATTTGCCTGCATGGATTCGGCGCGATCTAGGTCCACACTTGTTGACATCCAAACGGGCGGCAGTGAAGTCAAATGCCGGCGCGAAGCCAATGTCAACACAAAACGAACCTGCTGACAAGCCGGCCTCAGTTGAAAACTGTGGCCCTGGAGCATTTGTTGCAACAGTTTTTTTAAAATTTGGACGATTGACATTTGAAAGCAAAAACCAAAAGCCGAAAATTATACTTGTCACCTTTCATTTTTTGTTTTTTTGATCATTCTTGCCGGATGATCCGAATGCCTTCCTCTTTGAACCAGCACATCTCACTTATCTGGGCTTAAATTTTGGGCCGCAGCAACTCAAACGAGAGCTGCTCTCACATGCCGTGCCACACTTAATGTGCCACATTGGCCTCAGGCTGCCTGTGGCCCCTCTTCCTCTTATATGGCACAAGGTCTTGTGCTCGCTCTTGCGGTCTCGCACTTTCACGGTGTACAGACATGATATGGATCAGTCGCGGGCCCAATGCGCTGAGCAAAATTCCTTGGCAGGCTCCATAACTTTGTTTGGTTCCTTCTTTGTTCACAGCCGCCATGTCCATTGCCCTTGGGCATAATGGAGACGGTCTCAGATGCAGAGATGGGGCCGGCCCGCTATGGCCGCTATAGGTCACGAATTCATCACAATCTGTATCATGGGTAAAGCCAGCGCACTGAATAGAAGCATTCGTTGGCGAGCCACTTGTGGATCTTACATGGTCTTCAGCTGTTTTACCATCCCTGATGAGCCATGCTGAGATGAAGCATGTGCATGACACATAAGGTTCTTTGGGCCATAGTACTGGGTGCAAAAGCACGACTGGCATCAGCACCTCTTGGCTGACAACGCGCTGGTGGTAAGAAGGCTGTGCAGCTTAGGCTTACTGCAGCTCGTAGCCGGCCCTTGGCAAGGGCTGAGCTGCCTGGCGCAAGGACGCAGATGATTCGTACGAACAAGGCAAGAGCAACCGGACTCGCCTGACCGTGGCCCCTAAAACACAGCAGCATATTGTCAGCAAACGGGATTGGTGGCAAAGCCTTCTTGCGCCCCCCATCAGGAGCGCGGGAACAAAGTTCCGCGCTCGTGCCACCCACTCCAAGGGTGCCATGCTGCAGCTCGACTTGGTCAGAAGGGAATGGCTTTAGTCACAGCAAACCAACGACCATGGCAGAATGAAGCAGTGATGCTACACTACTTGCCGCCCACGCGACCTGTGCCCACAAGTCGTTGAAAAAATTCAGCCGCCTTCCACGGACGGTCGCCCTTTGATGCTGCCGAGACGAAATCGGGAGGAGTGAAGGCCAGCCTGGAGGCGGTTCCAAAAGAGCCGTGAAATGTGCAATTGCTTCAAAGAGGCGCCTTTGTGGGGAGAAAGAGTTGTGGGTCCGCATGATACATATGATACTGCTCTTGGACAACATGACAATTATGACATTGGCAATGGTGTTCTAGCAGGCGTCTTGTGGAGCTGAGCTTGAATCCGAGCAAATTTGCCTGGAAGGAATGGAGGCTGGGCGTTTGCCAGGCCCCGGTGCTGTTTGCGGATGCAAGCGAGTGCCTCCCGAGATGGGAACTGCAACAGCGCAGGAAGTGGAAGACAAATGGTGGATGACTTTGCCCAATGACCCGGGCCGCTTGCTGCCAAAAGACGGAGGTTTGGGGCAGGGAATGTTGCAAGAACTTCTGGGCTATTGCAAGGCTGACCAACGTCGATATGCCCGCCCCTTTCGTGCATGAGAGCATTGGAAGACAAGTTCACGGGTCTTCGCCATTGGGTTGTGCTGCATGACACATGGCACTACACATGTCTTCATAAACAGCGACGAGTCGCTCATTTGGAACCTCTCCAATGTGCAGCAAGGGCAGCACGCAATAAAGAGGCTGTGGTTGTGGTTGTTGATCTAGCCTATGGTCAGACTTGATAACATGGGCCCAACATGGTCCCATACTGAGCAACTCAAGACCTCGTTTCAACGCGACATTGGCAAAAAGACCCTGGTCACACCGTGGGCCGGGGCCAGAAAGAATAAAAATGCACGTTGAAGTTCACGGTGAAGCGCACTCTACTTGATGGCTGTGCTGCTGCAAAATCTGCAAAGTTCACCCGCCCAAGACTTGTTACATAATCCAAAAGAAAAAAGGCGACGATTTTGCTGAAATTACCTGATTTGCGGCCAAGATGAATACATGGACGGAGAGGGAGAAAGAGATGTACATATTCCATCATATTTCTTATCAAAATTGAGCAAAACGTGAGGGGTGGTGTAGCAGTTTCAAAAACGTTGGCAGGCGTGGGGCATTTAGAGGATCTGTGAAGATGCATTTCGGGTGGCTGCAGCACAAGGGACATGTTCACCGGAGACGTTAGGAAGTCAGGGTGCTGATTTCCTGAGAGGGGTTGCATTTTTTGGAGCATCAGATCTTCAGGTTTGCTAAGGCCTTCACTTTGTGTGGCAGGCGTGGCACTTGGCGACATCGACCTAGGCACTTATGGCACTGGGCTGGGTCTGGTGGCGCGCTTGGGTCCCGTTGTCTCCGGATCGGCGTGGCCGTTTGTGTGGCAGGCGTGGCACTTGGCAACATCCAGTTTCATGTGGCGTGGCAGGCGTGGCACTTGGTGACATTGACCTTCACTTTGTCTGGCAGGCGCGGCACTTGCGAACATCGACCTTCACTTTGTGTGGCAGGCGTGGCAGGCGTGGCATTTGGCGACATCGACCTTCACTTTGTGTGTCAGGCCAGGCACTTATGGCACTCGCCTAACTCTGGTGGCGCGCTTGCATCCCGTTTCCAGAACCTTCTCCGGAACCCTGTTGAACCTACCCCTGGCTCTGCGCCAAAGCCTCCCAGACCTTCTCCGGAACCTTCTCCGGAACCCTAACCTGACCTGGCTCTGCACCAAAGCCTCCCATTCTCTGGAACCCTGTTGAACCTGATTTGGCTTTGCACCAAGGCTTCCTGGAACCTTTTCCGGAACCTTCTCCAGAACCCTGTTGAACCTGACCTGGCTCTGCACCAAAGCCTCCCAAACTTTCTCCAGAACCTTCTCCGGAACCTTCTCCAGAACACTGTTGAACCTGACTTGGCCCTGCACCAAAGCCTCCCAGACCTTCTCCGGAACCTTTGGAACCTTCTCCGGAACCTCGTTGGACCTGCCCCGGCGCCTGCACCAGCGCACACCGGGGCTATTCTGGGCTGAAGACCCCATTGGCTTACGCTGTTGGGGAAATATTACACCACCGTAGGCCCCTTGTCTCCCATTGTTTTCCTCCTTGTTTCCCTTTGTTGGATGGTATGTCTTCCCGAGGCCTTGTCTCCCTTGCCTCCCTCACCAGCTTCTCTCCCAGCTTGTTTCCATTCCTGTTTCCGTTTCTTGGATGGTGTGTCCGCCTTCGCGAGGCCTTGTCTCCCTTGTCTCCCAGCTTGTCTTCCAGCTTGTCTCCCAGCTTGTCTCCCTTCTTGTTTCCCTTTGTTGGCTGGTGTGTCCGCCTTCCCCCTTGTCTCCCATTGTCTCCCTTCTTGTTTCCCTTTGTTGGATGGTTTGTCCGCCTTCCCGAGTCCTTGTCTCGCTTGTCTCCCAGCTTGTGTAAGAGTTTGTCTTCCTTCTTGTTACTTGTTTCCCTTTGTTGGATGGCGTGCCCGCCTTCCCGAGGTCTTTGTCTCCCTTGTCTCCCAGCTTGTCTCCCAGATTGTCTCCGAGCTTGTCTTCCTTCTTGTTTCCCTTTGTTGGATGGTGTGTCCGCCTTCCCGAGGCCTTGTCTCCCTTGTCTCCCAGCTTGTCTCCCTTCTTGTGTCCCTTTGTTGGATGGTGTGTCCGCCTTCCCCCTTGTCTCCCAT